TTTTCAAGCTGTGAGGTCACAAGGTAGAACTAAGGAGCCTAAAAATTACAATAATAATGTAAAAGGTTTATTAAATGGGCTAAAAGTGTTTTAAGATGTGTGACGAAAACCATCGTGATTCTCTATATTCAACCATGACTCTTGTTTCTGCATCGTTATTTTTATGCTGCACAGCTTTCACTTGTAACAAACGCTGTAAAATTTCATGACTATTTTTGTTACCTGGTTTACCGAAGCACACTTTTGGAGCATACTCTGAATCTGCTTTGCTTTTACCTATAGGTGGTATATATAGTTTACTCTACCACAACGATTGAAAGCTTTCACGTGTAACAAACGCTGTAAAATTTCATGACTATTTTTGTTACCTGGTTTACCGAAGCACACTTTTGGAGCATACTCTGAATCTGCATTGCTTTTACCTATAGGTGGTATATATTGTTTACTCTACCACAACGATTGAAAGCTTTCACGTGTAACAAACGCTGTAAAATTTCATGACTATTTTTGTCACCTGGTTTACCGAAGCACTCTTTTAGAGCATACTCTGAATCTTGCTTTTACCTATAGGTGGTATATATTGTTTACTCTACCACAACGATTGAAAGCTTTCACGTGTAACAAACGCTGTAAAATTTCATGACTATTTTTGTTACCTGGTTTACCGAAGCACACTTTTGGAGCATACTCTGAATCTGCATTGCTTTTACCTATAGGTGGTACATATTGTTTACTCTACCACAACCATTGAAATCGACCTCGGTATATGAATTCAGGAAACAGAAATATGTATCAAAAGACCCTCCAATAAGTCAATTCGATCCATACTAATATTATAAATGCGAAATTGTGTCTGTCTGTCTGTCTTTCTGCCTGTTAACTCTTCACGCTTGAACCGCTGGACCGATTTAGATAAAATTTGGAGAGGAGATATTTGATGGTCCCGATCAAGGACATAGGAAAGTTTTTAAATAAAAGATGTTGCATCGGGAAAATGTTTTCCGCGCAGTCGCAGTCGCGGGAACCCACTAATAATATATTATTTTATTTCTTTTCAGAAGTAAAAAAATGTAATGTTTATTATGTTTATAAACCCACAGAAGTAAAGAAAGACAAGATCAATATATAAAACAAACCTGCTAGTGAGTTACGCGACTTCGTCTGCGTGGAAAATTTGATTTCGCATAAAAATTATACCTCATTTTTTTAACCCCTCAATGGAAAATATCTGGAATAAAAACCATCCTATTTTCTTTTCCAGGACTCAAACTATCACTTTACCAAATTTTATCTACATCGGTTCAGTTGTTTAAGCCTGAAGAAGTAACAGATAGAGACAGTTTCGTATTAATAATATGAGCTTGGATTTGTAACTTCATATTGTTGTGTGGAGTTACATAGTGTTTAATATAGCTGTAAACACAAAGGGAAAATGGATACGTTCTACAAACTTTCAGAAATGAATCTACTCAAGCACGAATACGAACAAACTTCTTCTATAGGCCCAACTGTAATATAAAAAGAATCAGAATTCTCCACGCAAAAGTTCAATAGAACTCGACGAAAATCGACCAAAAGTTGTTCGTGTTCATGAGTAGATTGATTCCTCGAAGTCCATCCAATGTTGTAAATTTCCTTGAATTAGTTTTACATTTGAGTGTTCAACTTTAAGCCAATTCTCCATTTGTTTTATCATAATAATTATGATCAATTTTAAATTATAGGTTTAGATGAAAAATAAAACAGGTGTTTTTCGATGCAGAGAAAAGGACGATATTCAATAAATATTTGCTGTTTTTTTAATTAAAAGTAAACTAATGTCATAAGATCAGTAACTTTTAAAATATCTAAATCCAAAAGGAAAAACGTTAATAAATAAAAAAATCTTTAACACCCTTGATAATTATATCCATCATTACTCATTTCATATCACCTAGTCCCGAATACCCTAATGGAATATCATTATACGACGAAATTGGTATAAAGAACTCCAGGACGCCACATGTTGTCCAAATTACTGGGCCCAAAAGTCCTTGACACGGACGTGATCCGAACGAACATTTCGGCTATCTCGGATCAAACGCACGACTTTACATTATTATCTAATTTATAAGAGAAATTTGTAAAACACGTACCGTTAGGTAATATTAAACTTGGAAACTTTCCATTCGAATAATGAAGATGATGTAGAAATTTTATTACGTTTTGCGAATTATGAATCACTATTATGATTTGATTTGCTGGCGAATTCATTGCATGCTTGTGAAATATTTCAAAAGAGTCATTTGGTACAGCCATAAAACGGTTAAAAAATCTTTTGTCCGATTAAAACCTGTTCTCTTTTATAAATAAGATACACCAGAACTGCGAAAGATTTAGGTTATTTAGGATTTAAGCATTATCTAAAAAGTCATCTGGCATGTGGCATTTATATGCATCAAATTGAGTTGATTTTACGAGTAGTGTTTCTAGTTTCAATATTAACATTTGTAGCACATGTAAAATTTGTTCAAAATGAACAGTTTGCACCACAGTCGTACCATATGTTGTTAAAATCATACACACGTTTGAACCTTGGAGTATTTACTGTAACAGGCCGCAGAAAAAACCCATGACACGAGTTAATTGGCAAGTTTTTGTCGACGAATGCTATGTGGGTGACCTTAGACGTTAGTTCTCGGTAAAGGGAGAAACAAAAAAAACTACAATTTTAAATTCTTGGAGGTGCTACGGATACGACGTGTGAAAATTGCATTAAAAGCAAAAATGTTAAAATATTGACGGTGATTTTTTTCTCTCATGAAATGCAATATCGATACATTATCCGGCGATGTCACTTCTAAAATTAAATAAAGACATTAAAAGAGAAATCGAAGATCAGATATTACTCAATAAAAGAAACAAGCTGGAAAATCAACGTATCAATTTCGTACGAAAATGAATAAAATAACACCATCAATTTGTTACCGACCACTTTCAATTTACACAAACGATAAAAATTCAATTTTAATGAATGCAAAAGATTGGTCCGTTGAGACCACCCGCGGCCGCAATTTTGGCTGTGCTTTCTCAATAAAAATTGATTGCCCTATTACATCCCGCTTACGTTATTAACCTATTAAAGAATTATTAATATTAATGAAATACTTCCATGCGTTAAAGTTCTTTAGAAACAACCTATTAAGGTTTAGTATAGTTTCATTTGATAATAAATCAATTTATAAACGAAATCAATTTCGTTATATCAGTGATACGAATTGGACGAGGAGAAAATTATAAATTATAATTGTTATTTATTTATGTTTCAACACGAAAGAAAATTCACTGAGCGTGACTTCAAATAAACAATAAGCAACAAAGACAAAGCATTAGAAACAAGTATCAAAAGAAACAAAACGAAGATAATAAAATATCGTGAAAGCAATAACAAAACTGTTGAAATTGTCTTTAACAATTTCCTTGAATCCACAGAGACAGATAATAAAGGCCCATTATATAATTGTGTGAAGTAATAAAAAGTATTGTGAAGACGACACCGCCCACGCCCCTCGCGACGTGATAACGACGATGTATCGCCCAATTTGCACGTGAGTGCCACAATTCCCCTAGAACACAAAGGGCTTTATATCCTCTAATAAACGTAATTGGCATTAGACTATAGAACGAATGAATGCACCAATTAGATGCCAATATGTAACATGAAATTTATTATACACCAGTGGCTGTTTTTCAAGGTAATTTCAATTTAAGTTCGTGCAATTAAATCGGTTATGCTTCTGTAGTGTACAGGCTAATCGATTGTAAAGAAAGCAAACCGTAAATCAAATTACGAAAATCAAGAGAAGGTTAATGATGATTCAGCGTTCAATAAATAGAAAATAAAAATAAAAGTTCTCCCTAGGGCATATGGCTGAGAAGTTCTAGTTTATTAGAAGCTCATTGTAGTACATAATCCAGTCATATTCAGGCATTCAATTAAAGATCGAAGGAAATCCATGATTTTAGACGTGTCAAGTCAGAGGTGTTGATTGCAATCAGTTAGCCAGGCGCCATACTTCAGCTGCGTGGGTGCCAGCGTCCCTAATGATTCTCCCATGCGCTTGCGAGCTATAATTGCAAGCCATCGGCGCCTGCCCTTTGATCTTTATGCAGTAAAGATAGTTATTACATATAAGTGAGGATGAAATGAGCGTTAAACAGCAAAGGAAATTCTCGGTTGTCTGATAAATTGTACGTGAAATAATGAAACCTACACTGCGCCTTGTTAGGTCTTTAGACGTTATTAAATTGTCTAACGCTTTTAAGACATAATTGCTAATACTTTGTACCCACTGACAGCTCTGTAAAATTTCCTGTTATTTTAAGTAAAGATAGATTAGTACTCCTCGAAAACCATATGAATGCGTTTGCAGTAACAGAATTCAATATTTTAAGTTGATTAAAGTTTATGCTGTCACTTTCTTTGCAATAGCAACAGAAAAGGATAGCACGTAACTTTGAAGATGTTATATTTTGATTTAAGGCCTCTGAATGCTGTCATAACACTTTAAATCATGAATAATTTTTATGGCAATATTATAATTTGAAAAATTTTTTAATATACCGGACTCGACAGATGTTGTCTTGACCGATAAAGTGTATAAGTCCAAGAATCTGACACCAGCGATAGCTACCAAGTGCAGTGAATCTAAACTGTTTAATGATCTACTTGAAAACGCACTAGAATTTTCGTCGGAATTGGTCATTGTCACAGTTTAGCCGTTTCGAAGGAGTTCAAAATATATTTAATGTGTTTTTGATATAATTAAAGAATACATAGAAGATAAGCGGTGTTTCTTAAAAGTAGCTTTCGTATTTGTCATTAGCATCTGCCATTTAATGTCACATTGTTATTTCTTGGAGTTTTTCTTCGGATTTAAGGCAAAGCTTGTGGTAAATATAAGGATGCTTATAGCGTGCCAATGATATAGATTTAACAAAACAAAACATAAAATTCTTACCATAGACCGTGAGGAGAGCAGGTTCTGAGATTCTTTTCCCAGCAATGTTTTCAGCGACACAGCTATAGTTGCCCATGTCCTGTCAACAAAATAGTACAGTATTTAGATTTATTTCTGTTATATCACTCTTATTTTGTATTTTTAACACCGACAAATACCCACTTAAGTAAGAAAAAGGTAAACTTAAAAAAATTGCTTATGCTTTTATTAAAAGTTTCTTCTTTTTATACACCGGCACTAAATAGGAAGTTGCCAAAAAAGTGAGGCATTCAATTACGTAAGCATACGAACAAACCTGGTTCATTACAGCGTCGGAAGAGGTTATATAAAATATGATCCTTTGCCTCGCGAAATCACAAAGGACGCTCCCATTAAATTCAATGAGTAAAGTGACACATATTACGATTATATTAATTAAGAAGACTCTCCTGACGCCTATGCGTGCAAGGATACCGTTACACATAAGATCACCGCAATGAACGAGTGGGTGATACTGGTAGCAATTAATACATGTCTGCTCAGTGTGCCTAATTAGTAGATGCAGAGTGGCAGAAACCGGAGATGGAATGAGTTATTTGCGATTGTGCAGCGAGGGTTGCTCCAAACGGGCAGCGGATATGAATCGGACATTCAACAGCGCTCAACGTGACGGATGTGGTACGGAAACTTTTTGGTTTCATGATTTTTTTGTGGCTGTATGAGGAATGAAGTTATTGATGATTTATTTAATTATTCATAATTATTTATGGACTATCGTTTGTTTTAAATCAAAACAGTTATTAATCAATCAAATCATTTATTGCATTCATGTAGTTACAGAGATGGTTAAATACATGCATAAAGTACGTTACATGAACCCTGTCAGGGTATCGCATCGGTATACTTGGTGTTCTTGAATAGAATTTATAATAATCTAATATATAATTTAAATAAAATTTTCTTGAATTTACGTAATATAAATATCTACCCAATCAGTTTCCTACAATTTTTCAAAAACACGCGCACTGATTTTGAAAAAGGTAAAACGAAATTAAATTATTTATGTTGCTTTAAAAAGTCAGCACCATTTCACAACCTTATTATGTTTCGTAATATCTAACTTCTCTAGTAATGGAAGAAGCTGGATATGACGTTAGTTAAATAATAATGTTAAAAGGAAGCTCTCCTAGCTTAACAAGAAATTGAATTAAATTTAAACCCTTTTAAGCTTTTGTCAACAACGGGCAGAGCGCTTTGAAAGCGCACACCAGAACGACAAAAAGAAGAACTCTAAGAGCGACAAGAACTTGTGTCGCAATTAATAAACGTCAGTCGCACACGACTAATTAGTCGCAGTCGCACGTCGCGTCGGTTGTGATAAATAATTTGCAATCGTACAATTGCGGCAACCACTTCGTAGAAACTTTTATAGTGCCAGAGCATAGGTAGTTCGATTTTCGAGAATCTAGGAACGGAAGAAAGGAACTATATGCGTGCCAAATGTCAGAAGATCTGTGTACCCGATTTATGCAAAACTGACAGAAATGTTAAACGAACAAATTGATTAATCACAAATTTTGGTAATATGTACATCCAGAAAACTCGGGTTATAAATCGGGCATTTTGAACTTCAGCTGAATTAAACCAAAAATATTTGTACTTTTTATTTTATAAGAATGTAACTGCTTGATGTTTAAATCTTAAGAAAATATTACTAGAAAAAATCTCACGCGGGCCAGAAAGCAGAAAGGACTTGAACTTTTTCTTAAGCTGTAAGGCAGCGCCATTTCATCGCATTGTAGGTAACCCACAATGACAAACCTTTACAAGTATGATTCTTTTTAACATATTATAAATTTTTGAGAGTTTTTCACATCTACTGTTATTATAATTGATGACAAAGTTTTGAATCATTTATTTATCATTTTTTTACCACAATCTACTTGAATGAACGCGTCCTTTGCTCTTGATTCATGATACTTTTTAAACTGTCGTTTTGCTTAACAGTGAATATGTCGTGATTTTTCATTGCTCTTAAAAATAGCAGGGTGCAAGATTAATGTTTCACTTCTCGCATTTGATTGCCAATTCCGAATCGCTTCCAGGATGTAGTGTACATAAATTTTATTTTTTGAACGGGAATATAAGAAATTGTCACAATTATCTGATAATGGATGGGTCTCTTTATATTTAAATTAATTAAATGTATTTCGAAATGTAATTTAATGACAATAAGAGTTCTCAAAATGTGTTTTCATACTCCGTAGACAACATCAGAACTCCATATGTGAATGTGAAGTGAGTCATTCTTCACTAGATCGTTATTGTTTCTGTTATAAATTCATTTCAGATTGAAATTTCGACCCTTTTGCTATGTGCGTAAGATACATTTTAGGTGCGAGTAAAATCGGTTTTATTTCGTTAATTTTGAAATAAATTGCTCATTTGTATCTACAGTGTTAGGACACATGTTTCAAAATTGTAAACTATTAAACGTTTGCGGTTTGAAATGTGGCTATAAAATGGAATCAAACTTTGTCATAAAAGAGGAATATACCTATTTTAGATATTTTCGTAATACGCAGTAAAACCATGGCTAAGATAATGAAACTTATACCCAAAAAGGTACCAAAAATTTGACTTTTTCTTGACAAAATCTGTTTCTGTCAGTTTCATCTTTATCTGGTAGTCAAGAAACTTCTTTTCCACTTTCTACAAAATATCGTCAATTATACATATAAGATTAGCAATTCTAGTATTGTTTATATATACTAATACTAGCGGCCGCCCGCGACTCCGCAAGCGTGGAGTTAGTTAGAAATAAAGGCTCACTGCTCGTTCCCCGTGATAGCGTGATAATATGTAACCTTTATGTTGACCCGACTTTTTAATAATATTCGTGCCCAATTTGAAGTAAATCCATCCACTACTTTTTGAGTTTATCCCGGACATACATACAGACAAACAGACAAAAATTCTAACAACTACATTTTTGGCTTCGGTATCGATTGTAGATCACACCCCAAGTATTCTTTTAAAAAAATATTCAATGAACAGTTTTGACTTTCCTACTATTTTTTTTATGTATAGATTATACAGAGGAAAAATTTGATTGTTTGTTAATATTGAATAGGCTCCGATACTACTGGACCGATTTGAAAAGTTCTTTCACGTTTAGAATCCTACATTATCCCTGATGAACATAGGCTATAAGAGTATTTAAAAAAAAGTTAGAGTTCCTTATGAAAACTTCGGTAACGTAACCCAGGGTGTGAAAAACATACCAGAAAATAACCTTATATCGCTTACGCTGCGGAAGTCATCAATATCTATAAAAAAGTCCGCAGTACTATACGTCTAACAATTACAGTTATATATTGTTTTAAACTTTCATGGTCACTAACATTATAGCTATTAACGGGATTGTTACCATGTACCTTGTTTTTTATAAGTCTCTGATATTTCGGCACTGTTGCAAGCGCCATGATCACGGAGTAACTGTCATTCACGGAGTAACTGTGGAGTAACTGTCAGTTACTCCGTGATCATGGCGCTTGCAACAGTGCCGAAATATTGGAGACTCATAAAAAACAAGGTACATGGTAACAATCCCGTTAATAGCTATAATATTACAGTTATGTCACAACTAAAGGTCCCCTGCGGTTTCATCCGCGTTAACTTGATGAAACAGGTTAAGTCAAACTTAAAAGATGGGCATAATATTGACTTTTTTATAGAACTTTTAAAAGGAACAATTCTGCCATACATGATTTTTGTGTAATTTTAATTATTTTCATAATCATCAGCCTATTAATATTCCCACTGCTGGGGTACAGGCCTTAGCTATGGATAAAAAAGGGAGATTGGGCGTGCCTTCCGAAGCACGGAGGAGCTCGAGATAGTAGATAATATCGAGCTCCTCTACAAAATTTACACTATCATTGAAATAAATTTTCATGGAAGGTTTATAATTACATAAAGAAAGTCATTGTGTATAATACAAGCCCGGGAACAAAAACTAGAGTCTACACTACAGCTCTGCCTCGAAGCGAAGCGAGGGCGGGCCACTAGTAAGACATAAAATCTTAGACTCCTTCGACTGCTAAGACAGACTTTTATGTTAAAAGCATGATTTGTTATGCAAGTACTAAAAATCTATGTATTATGCGAAATAGTGGTGAATAATCAGCCGGCGTCCTGGTATTGGGTGATTGTTCGTTTACATTACTAATGACTTTTCAATGAATTCTGGATCTGGTAATAGTCGGAATTTAACAGACATCGATGATAAATCAAATCAGAAAGATAATCAATAAAATGGAAAAACAGGTAACACGTTAGCCTTTTAAATAGTCACAGTTAACATTAGCATTGTTATTCATGAATTGACAGTGGCATTACTAGTTTATATTTTCTCCTTAATAAAATATAATATACAACAACATGAGGAGCTCGATTGCGCAACTGGTTAGCGCGTTCGGCTGCAATCGTTGAAGTTAAGCAACTTTCGCAGTGGTCGGTCATTGGATGGGTGACCAAAAATTTACTATCTTGAACTCCTCCGTGCTTCGGAAGGCACGTTAAGCCGTTGGTCTCGGTCTGCAGTCGTTAGCACCCGCCAATCCGAACTGGGCCCGCGTGGTGGGTCATGGCCCAAAATCCCTATTCCATCCATAGGGAAGGCATGTGCCCCAGCAGTGGGGACATTAATAGGCTGATGATGATGATGATGATGAAATATAACAATGAGTACTTACTTGCAGAGTCGCTCTCGATATAAGCAAATTGCCTTCTGACGATATCAGTATGTTGTGGTCTTGCTGCAGTGGGACTCCATGCTTCAACCATGATATCCTCGGGAGTGGGGCCGCGGGGGGAGGGGTGCAGCGAAGGGTGGCTGCCACTCCAGCCTCTACTGACGTTGGGGAAGGTGACACCGCAAACTGCTTCTTTAGATCTGAAGAAGAAAATATCAATGAGTCTATAGGATTTAAACCTATAACAGATGAATTAAGAACTGCTTATCCAATTAGAATTCGCTCTCCACTTTATCTGCGTAGAAATATGTATTTTATATCACAAAGAAATATTGTTTTGCTTTTTTAGAATTTTACATTGAATGGAGGAAGGAGGATCAATATTGTATTTTTTCCCTTCTGCTACATAGTTCCAGGTCTGAATAATCAACTGCTTCCAAAACTTGTCAAGAATTTTTAAGTGGTAAATTTATATTATCTGAAGAAAATGTAACTAGAAAGAATTCCACGCGGACCAGGCAGCAGACGGGACTCGAACCCGCACCCTTCGCAATCCGGGCGAATGCACTGACCAATTATGCTACCGCGGCCCTCACGGACCGCGTCGAAATTCTTCTAGCCATTCTTAAGCTGCAAGGCAGCGCCATCTCTTCGCATTATAGGTAACCCACAATGTCAAATGAATACTTTTACAAGTATTAAACATTTGAAAGAAGGAATAGCAATTATAGTTATAAATGTTATTATTTTTAAAGCATGTAACTGCTTGATGTTTAAATCTAAAGAAAATATAACTAGAAGTTTTGGTCAGTGCATTCGCCCGGATTGCGAAGGGTGCGGGTTCGAGTCCCGTCTGCTGCCTGGTCCGCGTGGAATTTTTTCTAGTTATATTTTCTTTAGATTTAAACATCAAGCAGTTACATGCTTTAAAAATAATAAAATTTATAATTATATTATCTGTTTAAAGTTGTGCTTACATTAAATATTTTAACTGAAAATAAGAATTCTATAAGGGGTAATGATTAGTCATATTCAGTAATTTTATCTAATGGGAGAAAGTCTTTTAAAATAAGCATTGTTAAAACACCAATTCCTTTGTTAAAAAAAAAACTGTATAAAAAATATTGCGTAATCAATAATACTTCAATCGGTGTTGGCCCGCATTTATCATAATAGACGACATATCAAAATACAACAATTAAGATGTCAATAACAATTTACAAAATGACGCTCACATAATCCTGCCCGGAGCAGTTTTTGAACTAATTCAGTTATTGTTGTATCATTATGGTTTAGGTTACAATAATAAGTTACACAATGGTTGTTATGAAAAAAAAAATTATACGCATTCACTATAACATATTACTTTGAAATTTTAACTACATCAACTAAGTCTGTGTTGTATATTTTTTATTATTTGTAGTTTAACTAACTTTCTTTATGGCCCTTTTAAATTAAAAATTACTACCTACTTATGTGCTAATACTTGTAACAAAGTTTTATCTCGATACAATTATTTAACATCCCCCCTTACCTGTTTAAATCTCACAAATAAAATATTTCATTTAAGTACAAAGAGAACATTAAAAATTTCCTCTTCACGCTATATTTCTCACGTTAATAATTTTAATGCAAAGCCAATAGACGTATTGAGTTTCTTTTTGCCCGACAGCCCACACTTTATATAATAGACTCTGTCTTCGCATGTCACTCTTAATAAAAAAGTAACAAGATCGTTGATTACGCAATTTGGGATCGCAACCGTCTCCTCCCACTGTAATTGCTTTTCATTAACCAATTAACTATGTTTTGGCAGTTTCAATGTTATAGGCACATGTTTATTCAAGTAGATCTTACTACAGTACGCTAACCTTATTCTGTTTTAAGAATATTTTGTCTAATGACAGTGTCATTAAAGTAAACGATGGCGCCGCTGAGTAATTTTCGGTTGAAATTTAGATAGTTGGCATTAACTTGTTATTGATGTTTTCAATAATTATTCACTGACTCAATGCTACTTTCGATGTGATAAATAATTATTGTTCTCATTATTTTTGATTTCAAATACACCTTATTAGGGAATCTTCAAAATTTGTGTGGTGTATATGACTTCCGTAGAATTTGGTAATTTGGAAAATCCGTAGTTCCATAATATAAACTAATAATTTTATAGTTATGTTTTTATTTTTTTAAACGTTTAACTGTTAGATGTTTAAATCTAAAGAAAAGTTTTACTAGAAAAAAAAATCCACGCGGACCAGGCAGCGGACGGGACTCGAACCCGCACCCTTCGCAATCCGGGCGAATGCACTAACCAATTATGCTACCACGGCCCTGATGGCCGCGTCAAAATTTTCCTAGCCTTAAGCTGCAAGGCAGCGCCATCTTTTCGCATTATAGGTAACCCACAATGTCAAATGTCAATATTTTTTTCTAATAAAACTTTTCTTTAGATTTAATAATTTTATTTTCAATTGAAAGCTATCGATTTCACAGGTGTTTATGTGAACAATTTTATTTTCGTAACAAACAAAAGGAGTAATCTCATTTCAAATGCAAAGGAAAAGTTTAAAACACGCTGAAACCTTTTGTCTTCAAACTTTGTTCCAATTGCGATGTTTTGAAAAGTTTCAAAGCGCAGATAGCTTTTTCTAGAAAACTAATATTCGTTTCACGCTCCTAAATTAACATTTCTATCAAGCGCTCCACTTGAGTGCGATATAAATCCACTGTGTGCGCGCTCTATTACTCTACAGCACGGTTCTAGCGAGCTTTGTTTGGTTTATTGATAGCATAGACTCCATCCGTATTGTACTGACAAATCTATTTGTGATTCAACTTTTGGTACTTATTTGTATTTAATGACTTATTTCACAAAAAGCAAAGCTTTTGAATAAGTACTTATTATATTTGTTTCTTAGGTTTTCACGCACATCACTCATTAAATAAAGTTTCGTGCATTATCCCGTTTAAACTAGTTTTATTTAAGTACTTATTATGTTTATTAAAAAATATTAAACACAAAAATCTACGAAAGAACCGTACTCATATTTTTATCATGTTTCCTTTATTTATTAATTACTTTCAATTGCATTACTTTAAATAATTTCATTTACTTCATGAGAATTAATAATAAATTCAAAAACATGTACTTTCCCTGTTAATTCAGATTCTTATTGGATTACATTACTCTAGTTGAATACCGTTGTTAGGTTCAGATTTACTCTTTGGGCGTTAAAAATTTTTGCACTCTCAAAACGTTAGTGTACGTACCGGTCGAGTGGTACAGAGTGCAGCTATAAATCTGTTGTAGCTCGCTCCATTACCCGCCGGTCTGCAGTGTTTGCTTTATTGATAGTTTCTGCTGAAGCTGCGCTGACAGGGACAAATCTTATTGTCTGAAACGCTTTACATGGAATGCTTGTGAGGTGATTGGGATTCGCTTATTCAGTTCTTGTACATATTTGTCAACCATGTTCCATTCAAAGTCGTTTAATATTAATCTTTAGCAAAAAGGGAGAACATTTAATACAAAGCGATGGTGTATGAGGAGCTCGATGACGCAAGTGGCTACGATCGTTAAGTAACTTTCACAGTATAATAATAATAATAATGGGCCCGCGTGGTGGATCACAGCCATATCTCCCTTTTCCATAGGAGGCCTGTGCGCCTGTGTTTCCATAGGAGGCTGTGCCTGTGTGAGGATTTTAATAGGATATTTTATTTTAATTATACCATGCAAACATTCACAAACATATCTAAGTTATTATATCCTTCTAGTAAGTTTAGCATCAAATAATGATGTTTCACTCTTTGTAATTCTTTTACTTTCTGGTAAGCATCGAATTAGAAAATTTGGAGTATCTGTTGCTGATATACCAGCACTGATATATGCATACTGGGTCATTGAATAATAAGATTATTGCAACAAGTAGCCCTAATTTTAACTTCAAAAATTAAGTATAACTGTATTGAAATACATAATTCGTTAATTCATTACACTTTAAATAGACCTAAGAAATAATGGTTGGATGGATGGTTAAAATGATAAAGAATATTAGTAAAGACTTTAAGCCAGCCTTTAAAAACATTGCTACTCATAAACCAATTAAAAAAAATGGTATTCATAAAAGAACGTTTACAATAATAGACTTGCAAATTATTAATATGACAAACGTGATGTCATTGTTATTACTTTAATCAAAATACAGCCAAATAATGAAGTGACTGTCGGTTTCACTCTTCCCCATACTTTAAGCGATGTTATATCTGTTATCTAAGCGACAGGTGTCAGAACTTTAGATAGTAGCCCTATCATTCCCCTTGTTTTACAAACAAAAGCCTGACACAGCTGCAATGTTACAACAGCAAATGCAAAACGTCAGCGAGTGTAATTTCGTGTTATGATAAACGGTGGCAGTTCCACCTCGACAAAAATTGTGTTTTCACAAGCACCGAACTTTACTAGGGAACTTTAAAATGGCTGATGGGCGTAAATGATAAGTGTTTGGTAGATCCGGCGTGGCGCAGAGTTCGTGTGGCTATAAATTACGGAGTACGTTTCATTTCCTGCAAGAAATTCCTACCTAAAACACCCTCCTAGCGTTGAAATCTGGGTAGCATTTAGAAACGTGGCTTTGGTAAATTTTAATAATATATGCATATAGGATGAAAACTTTTAATTGCTTGGAAACTTCGCGCTGCTTGAAACGTAAAAGCCGTCACGCACCTTGATGGGCTTTAAGTAGATAAAATCGATTACGATAGGTTATGAATACCATGTATTTGACTACATTAAAATTATGGACTAAAGACCACAGTAAAATGGTAGTTTAATTACTTCTTTTGGTGATTAAGTTTGCAGGGCTACGCGAGTTCGGCTTAGGCCAGCGATGTGAGGATGTACGGACAAAAACATGAGCTATCTTTGGGACTGGGCTCTACTTACATGTATCATCAGGTGGGATGGAACACTTATCTACACCTTGTGTAAAAATCTATTTCAAAGCACATACACATAATTAATCATATAAACTAAATCTAAACGCAAATACCGCCTCGGTTACGTCGCAGGTCATCAAATTTTACTGAAGCAAATAAAGATATTATTATTATTACTACATTTGAATAGCTCGGCTTACATCCGTTTCCCTCAAAATTATAGGCCGGATACTTTGCTCGGATTTGTTGTTTGTACTTAACATTGAATTATTTTATAGTGTGTGGTATGTGTGCGGTATAGGCGCTACGATTTCCCCCGTTTTCATAAAATTACCATTTATTTAGCTTACTATCTCCAGGATTTGAGTTACTTTCATTCCCGAATTGGTTGCGATTAAATGTGAGATTAAATTTCTTTTTTATACAGTCTTTCCTCTGCATTATACCGTTTATAGTAAATTGTACTTATTTCAAAAATGCCATAAACGTCAACGAAGGCTTATAACTTCCTACAAAAGAATAAAAATAAATTTATGTATTGTTAAAGTAAAGTAACTGTTCTATTAAAACGAGGATTAGATAAAAATACTGCCCTATTAAAGATTTAAATATAGCCCTCGAATCACTTAGTTGATCCTTAAGTAACTACATTAGATGTAGACATGAAAACATCTCATTCCAAAGGTGCTTCAGTAAATCTTGCACCGGTGAACTTACCACTGACACTTTTACGTTCACCTACTACTCCTTATGTAGATTTTGGAGTATCATCATTAATAGGTACATAGACTCTTGTGAGTGTATTTCAAGCTCTCGGAGCACAATTAAAACTGTCAGGGTGGAAATTTAGAGCGTTTGTATTACACACGGTTGGTTCGCAATTAGGACGAAGTGGGAATGTCTCCGTCGCTTCTGTTTCGTGTATATTTAGACATTTATGAGTTTCAACTGAGTGTGTTTGTTCTGAGACTGGATTTCACTTGGTCTTGAGTTGTTGTTGTGTTTGAATATCCTCAGGGTTGGCAGAAGACAATAAGGTTGGTGCTAGTGAAATTAAGTACTTCTTTCTTAGCAATATCTCCGGGACTCAATTCTTACATGTCATCATCATCATCATCATCAGCCTATTAATGTCCCCACTGCTGGGGCACAGGCCTTCCCTATGGATGGAATAAGGAGATTGGGCCATGACCCACCACGCGGGCCCAGTGCGGATTGGTGGGTGCTAACGACTGCAAATGCAGCCGGGACCAACGGCTTAACGTACCTTCCGAAGCACGGAGGAGCTCGAGATAGTAAATTTTTGGTCACCCATCCAATGACCGACCACTGCGAAAGTTGCTTATCTTCAACGATCGCAGCCGAACGCGCTAGCCACCTGCGCCATCGAGCTCCTCATATTCTTCATTCATTCTTACACGTGATATCAAGTAAAAATCTTGTATAAAATAAACTCTCAGCGATGACAGAGGCAAAAAGAGAGATAGTACCATGGGGGTACAGGAATATTAATCGCCTGTAAAATTCAGTATTGACATTCATGAAAAAAAACAATAGAAATTAAAAGATTAGGTTTCGCTAATTTTAGTACTTATACACGAGACGAAATTAATAACAGACTTTAATTTACTGAGCACTTTTACTACTCTAAATATAACACTTGATTGGTTCCGATATAAACCACATTACTACGCAATCAAGCAACCATCCCTGTTGATAGCCTTTTCTTATTAACACTGTCCATTTAAAGGGATAAGTAACTGCCATCCCATGCTCTAAGCTCTCATTGTCCCCGAGGTCCTGGGACGTCACAGCTAATCGCGATTGCGCAACCCGACATCATAAATCTAACAAATGGCCGAACCAACGTTTATTTAATATGTACCGAAGATTTACCTCTTGCGGTCATTGAATTAAATCGAGCTGCTGTAATGGTTGTAAATATAACGAACAATAATATAAACGGCACTGCACGTCTTGCTGTGGCATGATATATTTGAATTACCTTTGATTAAAATGAACAGCGCAGGTAAAATATTGTAAATGTTATTTCGTTGTTATATTTTCAACTGATCGTTATTTACAAATTATATAAGGTTATTGTGAGTTTATGGTGAGAAATAAAAACAAAATTCACTAGTAAGATAATTTTGTTTTTATTTCTCATATTTCTTGAAAGTCTCGCACAGACCCTGTTTATTAATCTTTATTTCTGAAATAAAGTAATTTTTACTGTTGTGTTCGCTTTTCATATAAGAAGTTTTATACTGCCTCATCATCAGCCTATGAATATCCCCACTGCTGTGGCACAGGCCTTCCTTATGGATAGAATTAGGATATTGGGCCATGACCCCGCGGGCTCAGTATGGATTGGTGGGTGCTAACGACTGCAGATGCAGCCGGGACCACCAGCTAAACGTAACGTTAAGGACCTCAAGATAGTGAATTTTTGATCACCCATCCAATGACCGAACATGGCATAAGTTACTTAACTTCAACGATCCCCGCCGAACGTCTAACCACTTGCGTCATCGAGCTCCACTGCTATACTGCCTATCGTAGATATAATTAATAAAATATTTACTTGTTATATATATACACTGAATTTATTTATTTATTTCCTTTTCAGGAATGCATCATCGGAATAAAAAATTTATTTAATGGGTGATGTGCGTAAAAACCTAAGAAACAACTAAATATTTACTATATATATTTTTTTCATTGTCGATACTAAATTTGACTTTTTTTTACTTAAAGTCAAATAGTCGACTAAACTGAATGTTTTATAGAACCAGTTTATATTAGTATTTTATAGTTTTTATTATACATAGTAAGATATACCATATTATTTATTTGATGATATTCCTAAACACGATAAAGACCGAAATAAAATGTCATAATTTTGTAAAGGAACTTTATTTCATCGTAGACACTGTTACTAGTCAAAGATACAAGCTTCTATCTGGGTTACTCTAAAACTGTCTACGGAAACTCAAATTATGAGTTTTGTTGAAATGTTCCACGCGCCAAGACCGGAAGATGAGATTTCTTTTTAGCCAACCTCAGTTATAAATTGATTTAATTTTGTCTTTAAAATTATAGCGACGAATGGCTTAATGATTTTGTTTAACTCACACTCCTGAACATTACTTTTATTGATAGTGGAACTTTTTTAAATCGTATCTTTGTGACAATCCTTATCCTATCCTATAGTAAAGTAGTTCTTGAACCATCGCTTAAATCAGATGCAATATTGTTCCCCTAATGGCTAGTAGTTTGTTTGTAGTGGATAAAGTTTCAAAGCGCAATGATATTTATTGAAGTCTGTTTTGCCTTCAGAAAGTTATTGGTATCATTAGAGAAAAGCTAGTTCAAAACTATCATTTGCTGTTGTAGTTTGCCAAACTAGAAAATCTATTTCTATTTCTAAATCTATTTCTCTATCTATTTTGATTTTGTATAAGTACTTAAGATTATTGTTTTTATCACGAACTAGCGGCCCGCCCTCGCTTCGCTTCGGTGTAGAGCTGAAATTTAGACTACAGTTTTTGTTCTCAGGTTTATATTATACACAATGACATTCATCTATTATTCTTCTTATACCTGCATGCAAAGTCTCAGTCCGATCGGTTTAAAATTGACAAAGTTTCATACAAACTTTCATTCCCTATTTTATCCCCTTGGGGGTAGAATTGATCAAAATCCTTTCTTAACGGATGCCTATGTCATAACATCTACCTGCATGCCAAATTTCAGCCCGATCTGTCCAGTGGTTTGGGCTGTGCGTTGATAGATCACTATGTCAGTCAGTCACCTTTGAGTTTTATTTATATAGATAGATAGTGTATATAAATATTTTTAATTAGAATTCTTTATTCCAAATTTTATTTAAAAATTTTGATTCATCAACAGGTGCTGACTGAGTTCTATGCATATAAATTGCATTACCTCGAAATCAGTAAGCGTGAAAAACTCATTTGAAATTCAAAATTACTTACATGCTAATTCAACGACCGCCGGCTGACTTCTGATGTCACCCCTGCTACTCCACGCGTTGCATGTGCACGTAAAACGGTCCTCTCCGAAGTACTCTTCCAGCTGATCCCTAGTAACGTTGCACTCCGCTTCGACAATCCTTACACCACTTTGTGGATCCACAAACTCAAACTGAGTACTAGCAACCGACCGTACACCATTACACTTAAAGTACACTTGTAACGCATTCGCAGCACGACACCTCAGCGTAGCTGGCTTATTCCTGACCACGAAAGCGTGTTGAGGCTCCAGTAAGAACATTGGTAGATCATCCGTGGAGCTTTGTAGATGATCACCTGAAAGAGACGGCAGTTCGTCTGCATCGTCTCTGTTTTCGTGATCTTCCTCTTTATTCGTTTCATGGTCGTAATCTTCTTCGAGATAGTCTCGGTGGTGAGGTGGTGGGTTATTTTTTTCTGAGTTGTACGGGTCTAAAGCTTCTGCTCCCGCTGGGTGAGCGTACTCTGGCCGTAGCGGAATAGGCGGCGTCGGCGCCGCAGTGTTATGCTCCAGTTCCGTTGTGTTTGACGTATCTGTAACAACAAAAAGCGTATCTAGATAAATGGCACTAATTATGTGATATTATCATGATTGCGATTTTCCATGACAATTAGCTTTGTCGCGACGCAATTTGCCCAACGTGCCAATAATTTTGAAGATTATTGAATATATATATAAAACGTAATTGATATTGCAATAACATAAATGCCTATTTAATTAATCCTTAAATTCAAAAGCACCGTAACTATTATTACCCATATTAGCAAAGATAAGTATACAGGTACTTATGAAACGAGATAAAAACTGTATTAAAACTAATAGCCCCGCTGTTATTTAAACTTTTCTAATTGTGGAACTGAGATATAGCGAGTCGTTTAAAATAAACTGCGACTGTCATAATAACATGTACCCCACAGCCCCGCCATCGATTTCTCTAAAGTCCACACCTGGTTCGACGCCTCACTCGCGCCTATTTACACGCAAAACAGAGATATTTAGATACTGTATACCCTACTTCATGGAACGTGTTGATGGCAACGTGAACTCATCTTACGCGTGTAAGGTATAAAGTTGGAAATGTACCTCTGGTGAAATTTAAAGTTCCCTCGTCAGAAATTCGCTCAGAAATTGCAATCAACATATCAGTGTACGTTACATATCCAACAGTGTTGACAGTTATACCAGTAGGAGCGTTATTATTCGAAGAGAGGAGAGCACGAAAATAAACCGCAACTCGCGTGAAGCGCGGATAACTTAATTAGTTTCACTTCCGTTCAGTTTATTTCTATTTCCGATTTGGTGGGGACCGACCGCTATTTCCTTCTGGAATCTATTTTTCCTTAATAGGATTTGTTACGAGGGGTCGCCGTTTTTCTCGGCTATCGACTAGGAGGACGGCATATTACAATCATTAAAATTCCAATTGCGAGGGAGGATTCTCAGGTGTTACTGACCTATATAAGAAAGAAACGGGAAATATTTAAATGAACGGACATTTCTTATGATGTCAATTTTTATTTTTGTATTTTTATAGAATTATTACAAAGGAAATATTTCCACTGTGATTCTTTAAATTGGCAAAAAATAGCAGAAGCTCTATGACGCCGTTACCGTGTTTGGTTTGTGAAAGAAGCAACTCTCATTAACATCGTAATGACCGATCATAGTATAGGTGATCAAAAACTTATTATCTCGATTTCTTCCGTGCCTGGAAAAGCACGTTAAGCCGTTAACCCTAGCTGCATTTGTAGTTGGAATCACTGACCAATCCCAGCCTGGTGGGTTATAGCCTGTTCCAATTTTACATCCATAAAGAAGGTCTTCACACTGTGAGGTTGAGAAACTTATGACGTTATTAAATACTGAATAATATTACCAATAATTTTATTTAAAGGTGATTCAGGTGCTGTTTCAAGAAGTCAATGGTATTTAATGTATTTACTGTTTATTAATTAGCAAGGGTTAATTCTGATTTCGTTTGCATCAGAAGTGCAGCAATAGAAAAATATAAATTTTAACAACAATATTTTTTAAAGTAGTTCAGCCTTCAAAACACTCGTGTAAATTTCTTCACATTAGAAAATAATTATAGACAAATGTATAGAATCAAAACTTTACATAAGCTTCATACATCCGAGTTACATAATATTACACATGTATATTTATGAGCGCAATTATTATTCCAAAATTATTAGCCGTAGTAGTTGGAAGGGAATAATTATTTCGTCAAGAGGCCGTGGCAGGCGTTTCATTATAAACTGTTTATTATCATAACCAACTACTATTATCATTTAATTGTGTAATCGTTCCCATGAGCCATCGATTTTAATTGGTTTCAGCGCCCAAGATGTATTTAATAACAGGTTTCTGTGTTGTCTTCTGTCGCAATCGATTCAATATGCGGAACACTCAAACGCTTTATCTGAATTTTAATTAAGGCACACGGATCATTTCGTATTATCTCCAAGTGTCTTATTGAGGAGTTCGTTTTACATATTCGAGTGTTTCGTATCTGCATTCTCGTAATTTGGGTCGTCCTTTATAACAAGTGAAGTGCTTCACGCTTCTTTTTAAGTGTTATCTTGGCACATGACGAAACTCCATTTAGAGGTACTGTTACAAGAAGCGCAACTAACGCGGCCGAACGCTTGTCACGATGCAATTGTAAAATTACAGTCTTACGACTGTACCCGGAACGCGGTAGAAAGTTCACTAGATCAATCAATATGGGTTCTTGACTTTAGAAATCTTCTCAAATTGAAACGATGACCTTTTCAATCATAACTCAATATCGATATAAGTTCATCACGCTTCGAATTTTCTATTATATTGTCTGTGCACTATCTTTGTTTTCAAATCGCTTTCGGCAGATGTTTTCTTAGTTTTAAAATACCAAACTCACATAACAACAGTCGCGCGCCAAGGAAATCACAAAATTAATGTAAATGTAGAAATGCCTTATCGCCACGAGTTGGAGTGAAATATGTTTGGACTGATGAATGCTCGGATTCCTGAGGCAACTACTAACGAGACTAAAAACAAACTGAAAACTCATCGAATTGGCGTCATCCCGTCGTTAGGAGTTTGAAAGGGGCCGCCTTCTGTCATTTTGTCCGGTATTCGAATAATTAGGAGTTGGATCGGTGCTGTTCTAGATGGTGGAAGACTTTATTGATGGGCAATCTTTAATCAATGTCCGGGATGGATTCTTGGTGGAGCGTTTGTAGGCGAACCGTTCTTTTTATTGAAGTCTCAATTAATAGTGCCATTATCTTGTTGACGATAGCTATCTAGTTCTTCTTGACGTTTCTGAATTCAATAATCGAGTTCGAAGATACAAATTTTATGCTTAATGCATTAGTAACCCTTACGGTAAAGGACGAGGAAATTACTTTGACTTCATGCTTTGACATACAAGTGAAAATTAAAAAAATTGTGCATTAAATGTCTATGTCCAGGTAACTCCATTCATCCAAGACCGTAAACTCAATCTAAATATTAAGTAAGAAAAAGTTATGAAACATAAAACTTTTCTCTGAAGAACAAGATATAATAGTAATGGATCATGAAATATCCGATAAACTCCGAACGAAAGGGCTGTAAAAATTAATAAAGCGTGTGGCTCACACATTATTATCAGTAAAGCATAACACATGCCCAATAACATCCACTAAGTGGTTCTCGTACCACGAATATAACTCTCAGAGAATCTAATGGTTCAGATATCGGACATTAAACCCGTCTGTTTTTTGAGTGTTCGATAAACCTTCATAAGTTTATAAGAGCATCGTATAAATAAATCAGCGGAACGGAATACGTGAGTTCTGATAAATCTGTTCGTGAGAGTTGTAATAAAACATTCAGGCAATGCTTTCGCATCCGTTGAAACGAAGACGCACGCTCTTGATGCAGTTTACTCGTAAATGCACTTAAGTTTGAGGGAGGCATAAAAAGATGCAGTCGATCTAGTTAATGGCGATGTGGGAGGCTGTTCGCTTTACTTGCTGAGGGTAAATCAAATGTGAGACATGTGGCAGCGAAGCTCCGGTTAGTAATGGTTGTTATGGTCCTTATGTATTTTAGCAACTTTCGAAATGATAAGCATACAAATTGCTTTTTTTATTAGAAAGGCTGAAAATTTAACCCTCATGGACAATGTTTTCTGATTATAATTATGTATATTATTTCTTGTTAGTGATTTTAACAATTTTTTTTCTAAGTGTGGATTATGTATCCTAAAATGTGTTACTTTTGGAACAGAAGAAACATTTTATATTGTAATGAGTATCTCATCAATTTAAGAATCGTTTTGAATCTCATACTGGAAACAATATTTGAAATCACGTTATTAGACTCTTACCAAATTTGGTTTGGTAGGGAGATAAATCCTCCAGCGCAAGTGAGTGTTAAAGGGGCATCACCTTGAAACCCTCACTTTGGTCGGGAAGGTCCCGACATCAAGAAATTCATGCGCTGGTAAGTAGTGTCTTCTGATTTTATCATCTACAGCCCATTGATATATCTGCTACTACTACTGCTACACTATGGGCCATGTCATGACCCACCTCGCGGACCCATTGCCGTTTGGTACGCACGATTGACTTTTCGAAACACGGAGGAGCTCTAGGCAAAAGATTTTGGTCACCTATCCAATTACCAGCTATTGCGTAAGTTACTTAACTTCCACGATCGTAGACCGAACGCGCTAAGTACCTTTGCCATCGAGCTCCTTACCTTCGGATTTTATAGTACGTATAACATTATTTAATGTTGGGATTTAGCTCTAAATATATACTATAAAAGTACGATAGTAATTATAGCTCTGTTAAATTTTAAATAACAATGCCAAATCTATTTCTTATTAAACAGTTCTCGTTTCTCGTCAAATATTCGAAAGTTCTTCTTCAAAAGATATCCCTCCAAAGTAATAAATTATAAACGTTGTTACTCGGCCAGTCGCAGTAATTCAAAACAAATTTGATCCATCCAAACGTAAAAAGCCCGCGCCCTCTAGATTGATACAATGCATTTACAAGGTGCAAAAAGCTTTTCTAAAATTATCACAGGCCGTTCCTTTGAAATCACCGGCGCATTCTCATACCCGTCGCAGAAAAACATAAAGGCCGACCACAAACACAAAAAATGGTGAAGTGCGAGTCGAGAATGTAACCTCAGAATTAGGAATTTGTATTCCTTTTTTTTATTGGTAATCTACTTACGAATTAGGCAACTTCTTAAAATAAATAAGAAAATTCAGTTAACATTTAAAATGTATACAATTTTGTAGACATTAGAGAAGTTGAAACACTATTGATTATTCTTAAACATCTGATATTAGGGGTGATTAGCAAAGGTAAAAATTATGATTCAAATAATGATATCCATAATTATAACGGTATTTTGTTTATTTATGTACGTCAATGTAAAATTTATCACATAATAGGTGCAATTTAATTAAATATTAAGTGTTGTTTTAAATGTTTTGAAACTAAGGGAGACTGTTAAAAGTCGCTATTAAAAATAAATTCACTTTAACAACTTTAATGTTAAATGAAATAACCATGAACAGCACCAATTAAACGCACAATAGCTAATTAATTTCCTAATTGTTTCATTTAAATCATTCTGTTCATTCAGTACTAGACAAAATTTGATAATATTCCCTTACGGAACTCCACAAAAGCAATCATCGACCACACCTACAAAAACTTCTTGAATAGCCACCTTTACATCGGAAATGTAACACGATACATACAAAGAGTCGACGAGTGCCAGTCAAGAGGTTCCCAAACAAGATAATCCCTTTGTTAGTGGAGTTATAATGGCGTCTCCTGGGAGTCCTGCGCTATTATTTTGTCTTCCATTCATGGTAGCAGCTGTGAGGTGTGCTTGAGAGCCCGTTTCCTATTTCAACCTAAATGGAAGTTCAATTTTGCAATGAAGGAAACTATTATCTTTATAAAGGAACAGCACTTCTTCCTGAACTAGTCTATTCTTCAATAAGCTTTTTATGATTACTTATTCGTAGCACTTTTTGCAACTTTTCACTTTTTATGATGCTCAACATAAAGGTTTTATATTATCTTCCAATCTTGAAATTAAAATTTCATTATTGCTATAAATGTATATTTTATGAGGTTATCCTTGAAAATGTACCATTCAGTATTTAATTTCTAATTAAAAAAGTATATGTATTCAAATAAAGTTGAATCTATATACTGGAAGAGTTTCTGGAAGGACGCAGTGCAGTATATCGGAAACTAGGTCAGGCTTACGAATTTAATGAAAGCTCACGTAATATTTGAAGTTCCAAAAAACTTGAAATATTTGGAACATAAGATATATTTATTTATTCCGATCATTTTAAAACTTATAAATTCTTTAACATATATATAGCTCTTTAATACATTTCTGTAGTAAAATTATGTGTTAGTGTTTTTAATCAATTTTAGTTAAAGTTACAAAAATCATCAGTTCTTTATCTTCTTATATTAATTATATTCTTAAATTATTGAATCCACCATTTTCTGTTTATATGAAATATTAAGATCTATCGTAATTCCTGCCTTTAAATTATTCACTCAAGTTAGCTGATTTCTCATCTTCCAGTATTCTAATAGGTCGATATTCACAGTTAAAACTTCAAAAGTCTTCGAAATCAACCACGTGGGGCGTCCTAGTTTACATGCTAATCGTATCATTCATGTGTGAGATACTTCCAAAAAACAATGAGGTACTATTATTGCTTCGTGAGTATGTAATAGCTTTTCTATGGGTATTGACAAACGTTTTAATGGGACTGTCGTGTTCAGAAGTAGCACTTAAATCGTGACAAGCCAAGTTTTTTGCTTGAGTTCTTGTATCGCCCTTTTTATCTTGACTCAAAGTTTTTTCTTCATCGCGTCGAGTTTCTAGCGAGTTGACGACGGCAGCTTCACCTTTTTTGTTGAGCTCATCCAGTTATCTGATTCAAGATTAGGTGCAAAGTCTCTTACGCCTTATTTTTTTCGGGGCTCTTATACTTTTCAGTGGATGTTTTTTTTTAATTTCGCTTTTTACACTAACGCATCACTGATTGTGTTCATGCAAAAAGACTGTTGGTTTAGGGTTGAATTTATTCCTCATCTGATTATAGAGGGTCAGTGCTAAAATTCCCAAAAATACGTGTTTATTTATTTTCGTGCTCCTAAATTCTTCTGTTTGTTTATTTAGGTAGATTTCTCAAAGATTATTTTAAACTTGTAGTTTACTTTTAACAATAATATTTCGTCATTTGTCTGTAATGGAAAGATTTCGTATTACCGTTTTGGAAAATAATTTTGGTGCATATATTAAAAAAGCATTATTTGTGCTGTTTTTACTTAACAATGCAAAATTATAGCAATTAAAAAAATATCATTTTTTTTTGCATTGCATCATCGTTTCAGCTAAACATCTTAACCCAATTTTACCTTTAATTGAGTAAAGGCATTAAGTGGGCACCTCATTTCATTCTCTTGATATAACTCACCATGTTTGCTGTCAGCGGCGACTGCGACCACCCATAGCACGAGGAGCACGATCCCCCCTCGCGCCATACTTCACATGCGTGCGCGCATCACCTAAAACAATACCTTGTTTGAGTACGTGAAAGCCAATGTTTGTACAGTTTCGAGGGCATAGTTGAATAGTCGTGTTGCGGTATGACAATTCGATGTAAAGAAGCCTTTTCCCTTTTTAAAGTGCAAATTAGGCAAATGAGATTCAGATGTGAATGTGAGGTTGAAAATAAAGATTTTGAGACAAAGTGTTTATACCTCCCCCACAAAGTTTAGTACTAATTTCGTAAAATAAGAGATATAAACATGATTGAACATTGAAAATAAAGATTTTGAGACAAAGTGTATATACCTCCCCCGCAGAGTTCAGTACTAATTTCGTAAAATAAGAAATATAAACACGGTTTTGCCAATTTAAATGATAATAAAGATACTCTTTTGAGTCATATCATTATTCGGACAACACAGTAGTAAAAAAATAAAAAAATAAGCTCCAAATATTATTTCCTTTTAAAGATTTCAAAATTTTTGAAAACGATATTTTAAAGCAATTAATAATGATTAAATCCGAAGTTATTAGTGATCACTGGTCGAAGTCACAGAAGCCATACAATAATTTTAAAAAAGCTTATTCGTCAATTTAACTATGAGCCGTCAAGTTAAACTCCCAGCACTATTAGTCAATGCCGGTGGAACAGAGCATTCTTGTATGGCACCGCACCGTAACTAATAGGCCCTTTACAAACGTTTTGGGGAAAAAATAAATGGTCATATTATGAGCGTGGTTAAATACAGATTTGTGGATGGTTGCCTCCGAAGACGACAGAAATATGAAATAATATCTGTAACGAATTTGATTTAAAACAGATGGTGGTGTTGGCGTTGCGGTCCGGTTCTTTGAATTGCTATTTACGACAATATCGGTACTAGAATCGTATAAAACTACGGACTTCTATTAGTTTCATGTTATGCTGAACAAGTTATGAGAGCGTACATTCTAATTTACTGACATCTATATCTCTATAGAGCAAAATCAGTCCATAGACTGCACATAAATTACTTATAATAAAAACATTATAATCCTAAAACCACTCCAAATATAATTATTTCATATTTACAATAATAACATATACGTAAAATAATATCCAAAGGTACATCTACATATAAGTTCGTGTGAAGAAACAGATGTAACTGATTCAAGTCCACAGAATTTATTGTCACGACGTAATCCCACATAAGACTTTAATCTCCCGCTAAGTAAATCATTTGATACACATTCAGATTGTGACACAGTAGCGCTTACCGCTTTTATAGAGCTTAATACTAAAGATAAGGATAGCACGAGTCAAAAAGCTGAATAGTGATTCATCGTTAATGACGTTAACTCAAATAAAGGTGGCTAATTAGATGAACAAACCGCTTAATCACTCTAACACTTAATCAAACACGAAGCCCCAGTAGAATTAAATGTGAATTTAACGAAATTTGTTTAACTCCATCCAGTCATTAGCTGAATGAGTCGGGTACACAAACCGGCATCAGCAAATCACGGATAGTAGTATTACGGTGCCTTTTCAGAGAACAAGGGCGAATGCTGACTTAAGATGGTCTTTGTGTTCTTAATTAGTTTCTATAAATATTCCAGACAAAATAATTGTACGTAAGCCTGTCTCATGGGGGGTCTAATTGACGTGGAGACAGTAAAATGGTTTTCGGTGGGTATTAATGAGGAATCTATTTTGTTCGGAAAAGATAATGTTTCATTGTAGATGCTAGAACTGATAATTTTCATACTATGTAAAGATTTTTTCAACTAAAAAAAATCGACTCCGTCAAGGTCTTAGGAAGGACTCGAACCTGCGCCTTTTGCTGCCTGGGCGGATGCAGAGTAGGATAGCGGTTAGTGTAGTGAATTGTTTTTTTTCTATTAAAAAAATCTTCAGATTTGTATATATAGCAGATTAATGTTTAAGATAAAAGGCAATGCTTTTTCCAAACAAAATTCTCGACTGATTCCACCTTCATTTTTATCACTAAAGAAATTATTTTCATACATAAAATATAATTTTATTCATTTAATGGTCTTAAGTCTTCCTTGCTTCAATTACTTGTTTTACAAAGGAACTAACAGCCCTCAAACATGCCAAAGAAAATAAACAAATTTTTATCACCATTAAAGACGTCTAGTGTGGAGATTCAATAAGCATTTACAAAAAAGCAAAACGAAGATTCCGAGAACAACAACTTATTATTGTATATGTGAAATATCCTTACATATATCCTAATTTTCGAGAAGGAAGTCTTCGAGAGCATACCTACCGAACCTAGTACTTAGCTATATTTTTATTTGTAATATTCAGTGGGAGCAGCTTTTGTCTATCGAATGGCATTTGCCAATCCGCGACAGCAATAGTTGTTTTAAATACCTATTTTTTAAATGTCACTCAGTTCGCGATGAGCTTTGTAGAATTTCGCGTTAACTTCGGGTGTACTCCGAAATATACATCAGTATACTGGCCGGTGGTAATGACGTCACGAATCCGACGCCATGCGCCATATTGTACTGGTATGCTACCATATTTTTACAGGGAAAACGAATATGACGTATGACCGAGCTTGTGTGAGATGCATTCAAATTTCATTTCTTTTTTATTTAAAGAACCATTATGATATCCAACCAAAAAGAATTCCTTTTAATTGATGAGGTGAATAAAAAATGTTCTTTATTCGCACTATTTTTCAAATTTCGTCGATTTATGACGTCAGTGCATTGGCCACTATACTTCGGAACAATTCACCAGTATAGCGTAGATTCATGACGTCATTAGCACTGGCCAGTATCCTGGTAGGTATATATTACGGAATACACCCTTCATGTCTTCTTGAGATTGATTGATGGCACAGTTGTTTTTTAGATTAATTAAATGTTGTTGTTCGATATTTATTAAAGTGAAACTTTTAATACATCGTCACGATTTAGTTCGCTTATCTTTAAATTGTCGCATTGAATTTTTAATTGTTACTAACAAAATCAGACACTGTTAAGAAGCCACTATGCTTCAGTTCACTGGTAGAAAGCTCGCGGCCCAGGTTCCATTCCCAGCCGAGGATTACCTTTAATGCAAGTAATGTAAGTCAGCCAATCACCTTATTTTGTCTATAGAAGATAGTACGAGAGATTCATACCCACTTCTTAATGGCACAATAACATATTTTAGTCGATAACCCGTATTGGGGTGCATGCACTCGAAACAATTTCACACTGGAATACGCTGGAAGACGGTGTCAGTTAAACAAAAGGAAATCTCCCCGAATACGGCCTACTCAATTTTGATCATTCACACTTAGTCATTTACCCGAATTCCATTGGCACTCTTATTCGGGATAACGATCAATTATAATCGCGCCATCATTCTAACTAAGACTTGCTTGCGGGTGCAGAACTAGAATCTACAATCTTCACGCAAAAGTGACGTCATGTTACCAGCAGCTCTATTTTTGAATCACTCGTCTGACATAGTATCATCGAATGCGACATAAGTCACCTTCGACTTTCAAGTCACATAATACTGATTTCCCGTATTTTTGAATCTTTCGTCACCGGTGTTACCTGTTTAATACGAAATATAAAATTTTACTCAGTTCACGTAGAAAAAATGAAAACCCGGTAATTACCGCAATTGACAACCGAACAAAAAATTCTCGTTGTCGTTTCGTATAAAGCATGACAATGATAGATTATCGTTGTCTAATAGCACAAAAATTTGATTATTCTATCATTCGCCTTCACCGTTCACCATGCAGCGAGTGGTCTCACCCATTCGTTGCACTCGAGCGATTCAAAAATACGGAATTAATTATGTCCAATGAAATTTAGTAGAAATCGAGCGTTCGACGCAAGACGAGTGATTCAAAAATAGAGCTCCAGGTTACCTAGAGATATCTTTTGAATTGAAGTTTGCTGCGAGTCGATCGCGCGCGAACTATGCTACACTGTCGATGGCGGCATGTCGACAGAGTTACGACGCTTTGTTTTGTCGTACGATAACGGCGCGGCTTCCGTCGTACTCTTATCTGGAATCTTTAATGTTGTACAGCCTACAAAGTCTCCGATAATAATAGCTACTGTTTCATAATTATAAGTTTGCTGGACAGCAAATACTTTCCTGTTTACGATGAACTCAGTGCCGTGTGGATATTATTATTGAGATATGTGTAAGAAAGATAACATATATTTTGATTTCACTTCATAAACATCACACACGCTGAATGCGAATTTTAAACTCAAACATTTGCTCATAATTATCTTTTTAGGCTTCCGTAGTCTTCTGACAAGGAACAATTGTAGTTTCGTCATGTCAGTCTGTCCGTCCCCGATTTTGCTTGGAGACTATTAGAACTAGAGAGCTGTAATTTTGTGGAGATATGTATATCGATCACGCCGACAAAATGGTAGAATAAAATTTAGCAAAATATTGAAGTGAAAACTTCTTGAGCGGCGTTGTACACTTTTTTTGTATGGGTAAAAAATGTTAAACTCGCGTCAGGACACGTGGGCTGATCGCGTCATGACATGTGGCCTGATCGGGGATCTGACAAAAACAATAAAATTGGAAAGGTTGTTGACTTTCAGTATATTGGACGAAACATAGGTATATTTTATTTTATCGTAGTATAATAATAAGTGTCTATCTAGGACGTCCAGGTGGCAGCTTTATTGTGAAGAAAATGCATTTTTTTACAATAGATGTCGCTAGGTGTGCTTAAATGTGATTCATGTAAGTTGATTTTTTTACAATAGATGTCGCTAAGTGCGCTTCAACGTGATTTGTGTAAGTTGATTTTTTTGAGTGATAAACTTTTTTAATGGAATATAAATTGTCATGTTTGTGCACGATAGCGCAATAAATAAATATTGTATGCTACCACATAAATGATAGTACTTTTATACTGATAATTAAAGCAATTCGTGTAAAATTATTCACTAACCATTCCAAAATATCAAAAATGCACAACGTTAATATTCAAGTTTTCACTTCTGCCGGCACTCCCGGAGTGCAACC